AGTGTCTGTGCGCTGCCCCCCCGGCCGCCTCCCTGTTTACTTCCCCAGCGTTTGGCAGCCGTCGCCGGAGGATCCCTCGCCCTGTTTTCTCCGAAGTAGAAGCAGATGTAGCTGGAAGAATTGTGTAGTGGATCGTGCTCCAAGCGGTGCTGGTATTTACTCTCCGCCCTCTGGCACGCCTTCGCACGTTCCAAGACCAGACTAACTATGTGGCAGCGATCAAGTTTCTGCAGGCAGCTGCAGGACCAGCTGGCAGCTGTAGCAGGAGAGAGCTGGACCCAGGAGTGAAAACATGTTCCTTGCTCCTGCTGGGTCAGTGAAGCCCAGTGCTTTCCCCCCAAAATGGTGGTGGGGAGCAGCACCCTGCCAAGCAGCAGGATCCCCGGAGCTTCCCCCACCATACACCCTTCCCTCTGCCTCACACCCAGCCTCCCCAGAAGCTGCTGTTATGCACGGGTACACCCTAGGGGGAACAACTTCTCCTCTGGTTGGGCCAGCTGCCAGAGCTGGGAGAGGGGAGGCTTCTCCCCACCTGCCTCAGAGCTGCAGCCATCCATTCCTGCAGCCCCTGTATCCTCAGGGCTGGGGAGACCTTGGGGTCTTGCCACATGGGTCACACCAGTAAGCCTGGGAGGAGGAACCAGCCCTCCAGCAGAAGCTCACAACTCCAGCCAAAACATGCCATTCCCTGTAAAAAAGGCAATGATGTGGAAAACAGCAGCTAATGAAGACATCTGTCTTCTGCACAAAGAAGGAATGGATAAAACAGACCCTACGCTTGGGTAAAGGAATTGTTTTTGTTGTAAATTCTCCTTCATAACATCTCCTAAGTGTAAACCAACCCCAAAGCATGTGGACACTGCTGGAAACAACAACCCCTTCCACTCACTACAGTTCTCCCTGCCACAGTGGGATGGCACAGGCTGCAGGGTGGGACAGCACAGGCTGCAATATAAAGACCATGTTCTCAAAGGACCATAAGCACAACTGCTCTATAACATATGTGAGACCAGACATTGTTATGGTCTTTTCAGCCTTGGAAACATTTTTTTTTAATAATCTATAAAACTTGCTCAATAAATTCTATTACTGTGAAATTACATACCAGGACTGTTGATTTGTTGCTGCTGGTGCCTCCCACAGCCAGAGCTGGTCCCTTGAGAAGGTCTGTGCTCAGGATGACCCCAGCATTCAGTGACTTGAACCTAAAGCTAAGCAACACCTAATCCTGGCAACGCAGGAAAATGCATTGAAGGCTTTGGCCGTGGCATCTTTCCCTGCCCTGCATCTCAAGTACAACCATTTGCACCCCAACCTCCTGGGAGATGCTGTGAAAACACTCTGGGAAAGCTGTCGAGGAAATCCAGCTTTTCCAGGGAGCGAACCTGCTGCCTTTGCTCAGCTGCCTAGGGTGGGCCTGGTCCAGTCCCGCTGGTACCGAAGGATGAGTCCGAGGCAGAGACAAGACACAAATGGTCCAAGGTCGGGGCGCTAACCTTGCCACCTCATTTTCCATGGATCTGGATCAGCTGGAAAAGCATTTGTGCACTGCCGACATGGTGATAACAGCAGCACTTCTTGGGGTGGCATGCCACTGCTTGCACTGAGGAGAGTTCAACACTACCTGGAAACTCTCCCTAAGGACATGCTGCTGACAGAGATCTGCCAAACCCAGCAAGGACAGGGCTCAAGAAGGTGTCACAGCAACTCCCAAATTCAGCAGCTATAAGCAGTTCTTTAATACAGTAGGGTTGCTGTGAAGCCTTCATCCTACCAGTGTCCATTTTCCAAGGCCCTCAGCCCATCTTTAAAGCCAGGCTTTGCCTCTAGCAAGCAACCGCAAAATGAACTTCTCTTGCTCAGACCTGGTGCCAGCAGGGATTCAAAGTCCTGACGCGTTGCTGCGGCACCAAGGTCCTTCTGTGGGTGGCAGCAGCAGCAGCAAGATGGGGCTGGGAAAGAAAGGCAGAGGTACTGGCAGGACTCTCCAGCAGCAGGAGTAAAGCCTACCCTAGCAGGCAGGCCACAGCAGGCACGGCACAGCACAGCCATTACACAGGCTCGCAGCGCTGTTAACTCACTTTCCAGCTGGCAGAAGGTACCCGATAGCTCAGTGAGACCTGCAGCCCCCCTGAAGACAGACACAGTCCCTCTTCATCCGCTCTCTTGTTCTCTTGCAGGTGGAGAGTAGCCAAAAGCAGAGGCAGGATGATTTTTGTCCCTTCCACTGGGTGCATGATCTTAAAACCAGGCTACACTTCAGGAGGAAAAACCCAGCTTGGCTTTCTGGTTCCCACCTGGAGAGACCAGGGCCCACAGAGGGGAAAAGCCCTATTTATATTTCTGCTGGGCAAGCAGAGCCTGTAATCACATCTGACCCTCCAGCATGCTGTGCTCACTTTTAATCCCCCTCTCTGCATGGAGCAGCACCACCACTCAGGTGGAAATTGTGTACAAGGTCCTGGGGTCAGGTTCAGAAGAGGAAGCTGGGACATAGCACTGAGAATTCTCTGGGGCACCATTTCCCCTATGCAGCATTACTTCAGGCACACTCTAAGCAGGACAATGCTTCTCTCATCAGAAAAGAGCAAAAAGAGAAAACCAGGAGAGCCTGATCTCAGCTCAGCTGAAGTCCCAGGCTCAGGGCTGGAAGAAACGAGGGTCCCAGAAATAAAGGGCAGAGAGAACTGCCACCAACACTCAAGACCAAGTATAGAGACAGCCAAAACACAGCAGTCCTACCCATGGATGGAGGAGCTCAGCCCCTGTTTAGTCCAGCACAGGGGCCTCTACACCTCCCTGAGCACCCCAGTGCATCTATCTGGGAACAACCCCCACCCCACCGATCACAGGGAAGGGAAATGGGCTGGCATTTGGGACCACAACCACCACACCAAAGTGAAGGGCTCTGAAAGGAAATGGGCTTTTTCCCCCTGGACTGGTTTCAGAAGAGTTGCTGTCCTCCTGCTGTGTCTCGTATCACTGGGCTAATAGCTGGGCAATTCTTGCTTCTGGTGAAGAAAACACTGAAACAGCCCCTTCCTAGGGACTCTCAGCAGCAGAGCGCCCTGAATGTCCTCCAGAACTCTATGAAGATGTGCAGGAACACCAGATGTACAGTCAAAAATAGGTTTACTGGAATGTCTTTAGTCACAGCTGTAAGCAGCAATACTGAAAACACTGAGCTTGTGCATTCCCATGGCAGGACAAGAGTCTTCTGGATTGTAAAACCTAATTATTTCTTTTTTTCCCCCTGCTTTTTTTTTATCTTCCCTTTGCCCCCGACCCCCAACAAGAAGGAAGCAACACCCTTGAAGTTCTCCACAGAGTGGTCAGTTCCCTGTAACATAATGGTATGTTTCTGTTCAGACATTTTCCCCCTCCTTTGCTCTGATGAAAGGACAGACTCCCCTCTGCCTTCCACGGCAGGCAGTGAGGAACTGCTGAAACGGTATTATTATTAATATTACAACTCGACCATATATACAAATAAACTGTAGTGGCAAGTAGCCAGCTCCAAACTAGAGACCCAGAATTCCACAAAACAGGCGATTTGGGAACTGAATCTTCTGTTATAAAAAAAGTCTGACAGCAGGAACAGGTACTTGACCAAAAAAAAGGGTCATTTGGCAGTTCTTAAAATGCTCTGTTAGAACTGGCTACTTGCCACCACCTCCTCGCTCCTTGGAGAAAAACAACTTCAAAGCTATGTACAGATATCTCACTTAAATTACACAGCAGTTTGGTTATCCCAGAGCCAGCTCCACCAAAGCCTCCTGCGGCTGCCTCGTCAGGTATGGTACTTCAGGACTATGGGTACTGGAAAACACAAAGAAATGAGCTCTCAGCCATACACCTTCACGTGCGACACCCATCCCCACCACAGAGATCCCCCCCCTCTTTCTGTAGTGACAAACACCAAGCAGCTGTGAAACCAAAGTGTGTTTCCAAACACAATCTGCTGCCGGCACACACGCTAGACAACATTTCCTGCCACCTTCATCTGCTTCCAGCTTCCCAAAATTAAACCAGATGGGATTTTCCATCAGTCTCTCTCTCTCTGCAACGTTCCCACCCTGCTGCCAGCTCTGCCTCTCCCGCTGCAGGCTGTGTGTCAGCAGGACAACAGGCTGCATGGGTTTTGCCAAAGTAACGAGAACCATTACAGAGCTGCCCCCGGCCACTGTCAGTGGGAGGAAAACCCTCCAGACCTAGTGGCATGGAAGAGGAGCTGGGCTGCTTGAATCCCTGGAGCACATCATTCTGCAGGCAGAGGGCTGAATTACTTCTGCCACCTGGAAGAAACACGCTCTGCTTGTTACTACCTTTTTGGTAGCAAAAGCAGTGACATTTCTGCTCTAGGGAACTCCAAGGAGACCAGGAAGGACAGAGAGCAGGAGAAGGGGCTGATGGCAAAACCACAACAGCTAACTGCTGAAAATGAAGGAGCCCGGCAACTTTGGGGAGGAGTGTTTGCTGGGAGCAGACCCACTGCAAAATGGTTGATATATGTGGAGAGGCCTTTGGAAGGCATTGCTCCAGTCTGAAACTCTTCCATCTACTCCCACCAGCCTTGGGACTGGTCGGTGCCAACCCTGGATCAGTACAATGTTGGCAGGGCAATATGGGCTTTCTTTGGCAATAGTCAATAGGACTTGGTTTGAGCCTGCTCCTCTGTATGCACTGTCAAACCTTGCAGAAAAGCAGCATGGAGTGGGTTACAGGCCCCATTTACAACCACTTAAAGCAGAGTGCAACCTGACAGGAATGGCTCAGGTCCTCTCCCCCCAGGGACAACAGCAGCACAGCGTAGAGTACGAGTATTTCAATGCCAGACATGGCTGGGGTGACCTGAAGCTACTCACCGATGATAACAAGCAGAAGAACGACCGCCACCAGTGCTATGATTGCCTTCACCTGCAAGAGGACCACAGAGGCACGTTACACATGGCACCATGAGTAGCTGCTTCAACCTGAAAGCAGGCTTTTGCCTTCCAGCATCTTTTCAGCTAGAAAGCAGAGCTTCTCCATCCGCTTCCCAGGGGAGGGCAGGCAACTGCCCCTCCACAAACCCACCCCTGCCTCTTCCAGCTCTTGCTCACCTTGCAGCCTCGCCACCACATCTGTCTCCGCAGTTGCTTGGCTCTGTTGCTAAAAGCTGTTGCATTGTCTGATAAACTTTCTATTGAAGAAAAGAAGTGATTCAGCAGCGCACACGCAGTCAGAGCATCCACTCATTCCACTAACTCCACTGAGTTTTAAGCAATAAACTAATAATTAGGGGAAAAGACCCAACCACAGCGTGATTCACCAAAGCCACAGCAGATGCCAATGTGATGCCCTTTGCTAGAGCACACACAGACCTGCTGAGTCCCACTGAGCCCGTTTGTACTGGCTGCCCTCTGAGGACAGAAATTCACTCTGCAAGCCAGCAAGCAAGCGGACAGCTGAAATGCTCAGGGCTGTTGGGAGACAGACCAATCTACCTTAGCCTGAAGGACAAACTAGATCATAGCACCCAAACACCTCCAAACTAATGTCTCTGTGCAGAGCAGCAGAAGGCAAAGGTGGAAACAAGAGAATGTTAGCAGAAAGTCAGCTCTGCAGCCCAAGGCTGGGAAACACTTCCAAAGAAGCATAGAAATACAAGCCCAGGTCTGTCATTAGGCACTTTCTGAACTGAAATCAGGTAACCTGGCCCAGCAATGGGGAGGAGATGCTGGGAAAAGGCCAGCAGAGCTGCATTTAGCATCACACCTGATTTATCCTGTAGGTCATCCAGCCGCTCGCCTCTTTCAATCACCTTTGTGATGTTCTCCTGCATAACGTCGATGACTTCGTCCACCTGGTTCTGGACACTAGAGCAGAGCAAAGGCAGCATGAGGAACAGAAGCAAATGCCACTAGCTACATTGCAGCACCAGCCCTTGCTCAGAGTCACCCAGCATGACAGGGTCCAGGCGCTCACCAACAAAAGTCAAAGGGGACAACAGTGGAGGGAGACTGATGGGATGCCGAGAAAGCCAGAGGCATGGCATCGCCTGGGGTGGGTCTCTGGCAATCCCAGGAAGGGCAATGGAACACAAGGGGCTCAAAGAGAGCACTGAGAAGTCAGCAGAAGCAGGACACCCTCCATAACACCTTTAACACACAAATACAGTAAGAGAAGGCGCTGTTGGTGGACACCTCTGCTGCAGTAGAGTTCATCTCAAAGGAAAGAAATATAAAAACTGCACTGTAGCTTTCCAGACTTCACAGAATCTCACCTTTGCTAAATAACTTGGGGTGAAATCAAAGCAGAGTGCGCTCCCTCCTCCAGGAACTGGGTTGCTAAATGAAACCCAACCTGCCAAGGGCATCAAGAGGACAGTAAAGAAATGGCTGAAATGAACTGAACAAGGATATTATAATCTATCTTCTCATACGTTATGCAACTCTGTGGGTAGTCGCTTCAGCAAACAGTCGCCTAAATCACACCTGCAGGGTTATTATAAATGCATTTATTCACTCCATAAAAAGCCACACTGGTAAGAGGAAAAATTCTCCTGGTGGAAAAATACTGCTATGTTCTGGTCTGTGTTTTGGAGCTAATACACTTTTTTTCTTCCTGGAGATAGAAATAAGAAATTTGTTGGGGCCCTAGGGAGACACTACATTGTTTGAGACATACCGTTCCCAGAAAGTAAATGGAAACAGCTATGTCTTGAAGGCAACACTATACACATAGGGCAACAAAAAAGAATAGCCCCAGGCCACTCACTCTGCATAAGTCTTAGGTCTGATGACTTAGGTTGAATTGATTAAAAACATTTAAGGACTTAAAACATGTCAAAATGCATCCAGTATTTCCCAAATATGCAAGACAAATAGGCCACTTCAGCAGCTCTCTTACCTTACCAGAAACACACCTCCTATTAACAGTGTGGCACTGGACACTCGGAAAACCCTTTCCTGCCCACTGGCACCTCATAGATGCAGAAGCTCGTGGTTTTTACATCAGCACCAGACCCAACTCCACCACTTAGACAGCCATCGTCCAGCACCTAAGCTCAGAGCTCTTGGTATGACGAGGGCAGCATATCCTCCACTGTGGCCCGGGAGGCTGGGGCTCAGGGAGACCCGGAGCAACTTGCCCAAGGCTGGTCAATGGGGCATTGCAGAAAGAGGAACAGCACCCCATCCTAGCCACCATGCCTCTAATTAATTAATTAGAGACATAGGTTCACATTGACCTATTTCTGCTGTCTCCCTACCAGCTACATGCCTCTCACCAAGAGGACACCTGCACCGAGACATACACGAGGAGCAGCTGCAACAAGCAATAGTGGTTGCAATGGAAAAGAGCATGCCTTGCTCGCATTTACTTATCATTCTAAAAACAAGCAAGGAAAGTAATTAAAAGGCTGTTTTTTTCCCAAAAAAGCTCTAGAAAGAGCTCCAGATCTTTGAATATGAAGGGGCTTCCCACCTTAGCATTTGAGACTGGGCTCTGTAGCACCACTGCACTGCAGCTCCCAGAGCTGGAACAGCCAGGCAACCCCTCTGAAGCCAATTTCTGATTCAACAACCCTCACATGGACTCCAGCAGCGCACATAAAAAGTTGCTTCATTTAGGATACCACAAGAAAAGAACCTGCTTTCCTGGTGCTGCATCGCAGCGTCTGTGGGAGCAGCGTCAATTTGCACCCACCTATGCCGTGCAGTGGCAGCTCCTGCCTTCCACATCGACGG